ATTTGGTCATAAATGCATGCATTGGTTGGAAAATAATTTTTTTATTACTGTTGTATTTGTGAATAGTTGCTAACTGAGGTAGTTGCTAAATTAGGAGTGGGTGTATTCTATCTTTTGGACTCTGACCCCACAAAGTAGCAAAATAAAAAAAAATGCATGAAATTGAAGTCAAACATATTTGGAAGTATATCTGGTAAAGTGCCACGTTTGTCTGAATTTGTTCTCTGTATTAATTAACCCTTGTTTTCTTTAAAAAGTTTTAAGAAGGAATTAAATCGCATAATCTTTGATAGGTGATTTTCTCCTTTCTAAGAGCTGCAAGCAGTGGACAATGGATAAGCCATTTTCTAGCTTCAAAGATATACTTACCTGTGTACAAATTTCTTTTTCTAGGATATAGATCTCCGGGTAAAATGGCCTAATGATATTTACTACAGTGACCTTATGAAACTTGGTGGTGTTTTAGTAAATTCCACATTAACGGGAGATATGTTCCATATACTTATTGGTAAGAATATCAGAAATTTCCATTATGGCAATTTATTTAAACTTTTTTGGGGGGGGGACTATTATTTACACACACAGCAAAATAAACAACATGGTTATAATCCACTAGAACTGTAATGAATATGCACCTGGAATATGTCTATCCCAACACACAATTTGCAAGATAATTTATTCATCTGAGGAAGAGAGATTGTTTCATGACAAAATCCCACTGGGATAAAGGCAGTAAAATGTTTCTTAACCTCAGAAGAGCTCTAACTAAACATGGTATACTGTTATCAGGAAGCCAGTTTTTTACTTCTCTAGATCACCAGTTTTCATCACCAAATCTTGCTTTATGGCCAGATAATCTTCTTTGTTTTAAGATAAGAATATACTGTTAACAATTTAGTGTCTTACTTGTATTTTTAGAACCATTTTCTTTTTGATTTTCCATTTGATTGTCATGACCAGTATCTCTACACTATGTTTCAAGAATCATGCAGAAAGAAAGACAGATTTTGAAGTTTTCTACAAGTTTCAGATCTTTTCACTAGAAAAAAAAATAGAAACAGTTATATCCAGATGGGATCAGTGCCTTTCTCAGTTTTGTGGTTAGTGGATAGTCTTTTAAATATTTTGGATTTAAAAAAAAAATACATATCAAAAG